TAATAATAATAATAATGATAATGATAATAATAATAATGTTCTGAGGTGGAAAAATCTATTGTTTACAGAAACGTCGCCGAATTTACTCATAATGGAACAAAAAAAAAGGTAGCTGCGCGTTATTTCTTTGATTTTCCTGTTGTGGGTTTAGTTGTCGTTTTAAGAGATGTTATATTATTGTCAGTTTTCATTTCCCGCCTTAAACATGTTTATTGAAATTCTTTTATGGAAGTAATAATATACACTTTTAAGTTCTATCATATACGGATACGTGTGTTTACAAGGCTCACCCCCCCCCCCCCCCCCCCCCCCTCCCCCCACTTGGCTCACTTCTATCGGGAATGGACGTTGAATTCTTGCAAATTTAGTTGTATTCAACTTTTGTTTTGTTTTTTACATCCGAAAAACAGAGAACAGTGAGAGAACAGCTCTACCGTGTCTGGCTGGAGACTAGGAGAAAAAGAAGAAGAAGAAGAAGAAGAAGAAGAAGAAGAAGAAGAAGAAATGCGTACAAAGATATGAGCTAACATCTTATCAAAAATTGCCATCTGTACGGTGGGCGGTTGTTGGGTGCTCTGGTGTAGTTGGCTCCTTCTGTCCTATCAAACATCTTTAGCCCTTATCACGCCTCCTTCTTTTATTTGTACGTTACTAAAATTTTGAATCACTTCTTAGACCGTTGGAACTTATGATAAATATGACCTATTTGTGTTGCAAGTACCGTAAAATCTTACTACAACCATGAAGAAAAATACGACACAGAGGCATGGGCAAGCAGCACAACAATAAATTATAATGTACCCAGACAGGTGACGTTGAACGGAACAGTTTTCTCATAACACATCGAACTGTGTGTCAACGGTTCGCCAAACTCTACCCTTATGTTTCAGAATTGATTGTACACACTACTGCAGAGGGTGAAAAGAGGCTGGGAAATTTAAAAAAACACAAAAAAACCCAAAAGACAACAAAAAACAAACAATCTAAAAATTAATGGACAAGAAAGAAATCAGTGTAGGGTATAATGTGTGCGGATGTGTACGGTTTCTCTCTCCCTCTCTCCCTCTCTCTCTCTCTCTCTCTCTTTCTCTCTCTCTCTCTTTCTCTCTCTCTTTTCTCTCTCTCTCTTTCTCTCCCTCTCTCTCTTTCTCACTCTTTCTCTTCCTCTCCCTCTCTCCCTTTCCCCCTCTATCTCTATCTCCCCTCTATTTCTCCTCTCTCTCTCCCTCTCTCTCTC